TGTCAAAATAAAGTAATGCAATGTTATTCAGGTTATATTTTAGTGAATGATAATACATGTTCCAAAATTGTGTGGGATTTTAAAATTCTAAAATGTCTGAGTATACACTATCAATTATAAACTTATTGTAGGCCACAGAAATAACCAATTTCCTCGTCAGTTGTTTCTTTAACTATGACTATTTAAAGTCCTTTCCACCGTTAATTGCTTAATGCTGGTACAGTTTCTGAAAACTCCACAAGCATGCAAAATCCTAGAATATAGTTTCTTTTAGATATTCATGAAAGGATGGAAAGGACCCTGAAAAGCACTCTTGAATACAGGTTTCTAATAACTTTAAAATCATATTTTGGGAAAGAATTCCACATGAATTCCCCAACTCCCCAAAAATTAGACTGGATGAGAATTACTAAAACTTTAATGAAAAGACTGACTGGTTAATAAAACTCCTAACCCAAGTAGAACAAAAATTAATCGAATACCAAGGAAATATTTTGCCAGATTTTTATGCTACATCAGCCAATACCAAAATTGTTTAGATATACAATTTGAATGAACTCCATGGTCTACATCAAATTACCTATGATAACCCATCAGTTATCAGTGCTATGCACCTAATTTGGAGAAACAACTGGTATTTAAGAGGATATAAGTCTAATGTTAATTAAGCATGGACTCATGAAGAACCAGACAGTCACCTGTCCTTCCTAAGTCTTTAAAGCTTTTGTTATTGAAAATTCTACATTCCATGACTCATCATGGAAAAGATAAAATACTCTAAATTAAATATATTGGTGCGGTGACTTATATATTGCTAAAATAGTTTATAACCAATATTTGGTTTGTCAAATCCATATCCCTGGGAAGACAATCAAAGCTTCAGCTAAATTTGGCTAACTGGTGGGCCATTTAAACTTTTATAAAGGGATAGAATACAATTTTCATTTTCAATGCTTATTATCTGGTTGTATAAAAGCTCTCCCATGCAAGAGGGCTGATGTTATAACAGTAGATTATTATGCCACAGTATATTTTCACCAAGTAAAGAAAGCTTTTTATAATTCATGGAGGACAATCAACCCCTTCATAATCTAGAACCTGAAGATTGGATCTTCTGAGAACATCAGAGAACGACTGCCCTTGCCGTTCACATTGCAACAAAACTGGAAACTTGAACTTTGGATTCATTATCTCACAACTGAAAAGGGTCCCTCCACACTCTTGGAACTGTGTACATCCATTGAAACCCTTAAGGTAAAGTTAACCAGGAAAGCTTCTCCCCAGAAGAAGATGCCATCCTTGATATGAACAGCTTCTCCCAAGATCAAGGACCAAGACTTCTCCACTATCATGAGACTTTTATCTTTGAATATTTTTCCTTGTTTATGCCTCTATGAAAAATAGAAATGAAAATCTTGTGTGCACTTATGGGATATGTTTTATTTGTGAAGGATTTTGCAGCAAGCCTTATACATGGATAACCTTACACCTTGAAAAAATGAAGATAAACTAGATAAAAATGAAGGCCCAATGTAAGGGAGAAACTTTAATGGTGCATATATTGCCTCATAATCCGTCAGAAGCAGAACATTGGTTCGCTCCTTTAAACCCACATCATGGGTTAAAGAGAACATTGCCAGGAGGCCTTCATTATTCTAGAAGGGCATCACTTGTTAGGTCCTTTTTCCATGGTTTGACGTAAAAGAGGAAATAATTATAAATGTATCCTTCGGGAAAAGCTCTATAGCAGATTCTACTTTAAAGACCATAGTTATACAACATACGTTAAATTCCTTTGTAAAAGTTATGCTAAATAGTAGAATTGGCTAAACAGAGAATTATCTGTGCAGCTGCTGGCACTTGTGGCCTATGAAGAAATATATCAAATATAGATTGTAGAGATTTAGTTATAGGGATGTAATGAAAAGACTGCTTAGTTAAGTGAGTAGACTTCTTATCGAGCTCATTCTTTAATCTATTTAATTTTAGGTGCTTTTATTCATGGGGACCCTGGGTAAGAAGCATACTCCAAATTCTTGGTATCATCCTCCAAATAGTCATAATAGTAGTCTCCCTGGTGTGCAGTACACTCTCAAAAGTTTTAAGTGTTTGCATGCGGCCATCTCTAGAATGTCAAATGGTCTCTCTTCAATGGAATGACAAGAGCTGAAAAACACACGACCATGAGGACACCATAACCTATGAATGACATCCTGAGACTGGAAACCTAAAATGATGGTAACTGAGATTGGCACCAAGGCCCCAAGTTTTGGTCACACTCTCACCTAAGTGAGAACCTGACCAAAAGGGGGAATTTTTTTAAAACAAAACTAGTGGGATGCTATTGTTTTGGACTGAGCTCACTCATTAGGTGCCAACAGAGCAAACCAAACAAAAATGAAGTCATTCATGCTAAATGTAACATTATCAAACTAAGACTTTAAGGAAACACATAGGTCCTAGGACAGACCAGGATTTGTTTTCCTCCTGTAAACAGGACTTTCCAGCACAACGAGGTACCCTCTACTCAGTGCTTGCTCCTATCATTGCAAAACTCACTGTTCTACTGTTTCCCAGTGGGTTTCAAAACCAAATAAGTACATTTATGAAGGTGATAGTGACATCAATGACTAAAGTTTTGGTCAATCTCTCAAAATTGAAAAAATGACCAAAAGGGAGCGATTGTTAAAGCAAATTATATATAGCCTGAGAAGGACTTCATACTCTATATTTGAGTCCTTGTGGACAAACTGCAACCTAATTTAATAGGTAGAAAAAATTGAAAACCTAACTTAGAAGTATGTCCCTATAACCATAGCTGGGTCTTAGCCAATCCCAGCAGCTGCACTTCAACTTCTCACAGACTGCCAAGTGTTTAAACTGTGTTCAAATAAGGCAAACACTGAGCTGTAACCAATCCAGTTATTTCTGTACCTAACTTCTGATTTCTGTACATCATTCTCCTTTTTTGTCTGTAAATATTCTTCCACCACATGGCTGGGCTGGAGTTTCTTTGAATATGCTGACTCTGGGGACGGCCCAATTCATGAATTGTTCATTGCTCAAACTCCTTTAAATTTAATTCAGTTGAAGTTTTTATTTTAACAACACAAAGGAAAAAGAGCAAAGAAATAAACAGAGATCAGTAACTTATGCAACAATATCAAATGGCTACATATATTTGTAATTGAAGTCTCACAAAGAAAAGGAAGAAAAGAGAAAAATATATTTAAAGAAACAATATATTTAAAGAAACAATTTGGAAAAGGTGTAATACCTTTTCCAAATTTGAGGAACATTATTAGATAACAGGTCCAAGAACATCAATCAACCCTTAAATAATAAACACAAAGAAATACATAACTAGGCAAGTCATAATGGAACTGGTAAAAACCACTGATAAAGAGATGATCTTAAAAGCACCCAGAAAGGGGAAATATGTGCAGAGCACCAAAAATCATCAAGATATACTTCTCAATAGTAACTATTCAAGCCATAAGAAAACAATGTAAGAGGCTGGGTGTGGTGGCTCACACCTGCAATTCCCGTGCTTTGGAAAGCCAAAGTAGGAGGATCACTGGAGACCAGGAATTCAATAATGACCTGGGCAACAGAGAGAGACCCCAACTCTATAAAAACCAAACAAAAAAATTGCTGGGTGTGGTAGTGTGCACCTGCAGTCCTAGTTACTCTGGAGGCTGAGGTGGGAGGATTACTTGAGAACAGGAGTTCAGGGTTGCAGTGAGCTATGATCACACTATTCCACTCCAGTCTGAATGACATGGTGAGACCCTGCCTATTATTATTATCCTAATTATTATTATTATCTAAAAATAATAATAATAAAACAAAAATTTTAAGAAGAAAAGATACTGAAAGAAAACTGTCAAACTAGAATTCTATACATAACACTATTTTCAAAAATGAAAGTAAAATAAAGTTTTTTTTAACCAACAAAAGTTAAAACAATTCATTGCCATTAGACGTGCTCTACAAGAATTCTTAAAGGAAGTTCGTCAGACACAAGAAAAATGACAAGATGAAAATTTTGAAACACTAAAAATAAAAAGCATTATAAAGGTAAAAATATGAGCAAATATAAAAGCTATTTTTCTTGTTTATTTAATCTTGTTTATGTCTTGTCTTTAAAAAGTAATTTATTCCTTATAGAAGAAAAGAATAACAACACATGGTAAGGTCTGTAAATTATGTTAAAATAAAATATATGACCAAGATTACACAAAGAATAGAAGAAATGAAAGCATATATCTATAAAGTTCTTATGCTGTATATGAAAAGGCATAATATTGTTTGAAAACATACTGTCATACATTAAAGATTTATATTATAAATTGTAGAGCAGGCATTAAAACATAGCAAAACAGAGGTGAATAGCTTATAATTTAATACTAGATAAAAAGTAACAAATAATCCAAAAGAAATTAGAAAACAATGGAATAAAGAAAAAATAAATAATAAACAAATGGCCTTTAGATCCTTCACAAAAAATAACTCAAAATGGATCATAAACTTAAATATGAATCATAAAACTACTGGAGGACAAGTGAAAATCAAGATCACCTTGGCTTAGTGATGACTTTTTAGATACAACACTGAAGACATGATTTATGAAGGGAATGAAGGAAATAATAAGCTAGAATTCATTAAAAGTAAAAACTTCTGCTCTTCAAAAGACACTATCCAGAGAACGAGTTGACAGTCCACAGACTAGCAGAAAATATTTTTAAAAGACTTTTGTGATAAGCACTGTTATGCAAAATATTCAAAGAATTCTTAAAATGAAACGATAAGAAAATTAGTAACCTGGCCAGGCACAGTGGCTTACGCTTCTAACCTCAGCACTTTGGGAGGCCAAGGCAGGCAGCTCATCTAAAGTCAGGAGCTCGAGACCAGCCTGGACAACATGGTGAAACCCTGTCTCTACTACAAATATAAAAATTAGCAGGGTATGGGGGGTGCACACCTAAAGTCCCACCTACTTGGGAGGCTGAAGCAGGAAAATCTCTTGAATCCATGAGGCAGAGTTTGTAGTCAACCAAGGCCACATCCCTGCACTCCAGCCTGGGGGGAAAAAAAAGAGAATTAGTGACCTGACTAAAAAATGGACAAAAGACCTGAACAGAAGACACATTGCCAAAGAAGATATACAGATGACCAATACATGCGTAAAAAGATACATCACATCATATGTTATCAGAGAAATTTAAGTTATAAGAATAATAGCCAGGTGCAATGCCTCACTCCTGTAATCCCAGTACTTTGGGAGGTTGAGGATGGAGAATCTCTTAAGCTCAGGAGTTCAAAACCATTCTAGGCAACATGGCAAAACTGTCTCTACAAAAGACTTAGTTGGGCACAGTGGCATGTGTTTATAGTCCTAGCTACTCAGGAGGTGGAGGTGGGAGGATTATCTGAGCTTGGGGATGTTGAGGCTGCAGTGAGCTATCATCACACCACTGCATTTTCTAGCCTGGGCTACAGAATGAAACCCTACCTCAAAAAAAAAAAAAAAAAAAAAAAAAGGACATGAGGTGTGGAAACTAAATGTACATAGAACTAATAATACAGCTTCAAAATATATGAAGCAAAAATTTATAGAATTGAAAAGAGAAATAGAAAACTCTCAGTTATAGTTGGAAATTTCAACACTCCTCTCTCAGTAATCAATAAAGCAAATAGACAGAACAATCAAAAAGGATATAACCTACTTGACCTAATTTACACTTACTCAAACATTCCACCTCAAGCAGAAGAAAACATTATTTCCTAGTGCACATGTAGCCCCCAACAAGACTGACTACATTCCTGGCTGTAGAACAATTCTCAGACATTTAAAAAGATTGAACCATACAAAGTATGTATGTTCTCTGAGTGTGTATGCTGAATGATAAACACCCAAAGATGCCCATGCTCTAATCCCTGGTGCCTGTGACTGCATTAGGTTACATGAGAAACAGGAATTAATGTGGCAGGAAAAATAAAGGTTCCTAATCATTTTACCTAAAAATACAGAGATCATCCTGGATTTTCTGGGTTGACCCAATGTAATCCAAAGTCCTTAGAAGTGTAAGGACTTAAAAGGTCCCTAGGGACCAAGGGTAGGTAGTTACCAGGTATATAAAATTGTCAAAAATGATCAAATTAAAAACATAAGGTGTGTGCAATTTAATGTATACAACATATATCTCAATTTTAGATACCCACAGAACATTTGCAAGGGCTAAACTCTACAATTAAAACAAATGCTCACCACTGCTACTTTCACTGAATCACAAAACGTCACAGTTAAGCCATACAGCTATCAGGGGGCTGTGGATGCTGCCACTGGAACCACCATGTAATCTTCATCGATTAACTATATACAATAACACAGAAGTAATCATCATCTCATGAGTGGCTTCTACAAGATCCATCCTTCCTCCTTTCACCAGATTTTTGCTAAGGACCCTGGTGAGGAAATTTGGTCAGCAGCACCTAGGTCATGGGTCTGTAGAAGGGATGCGCAGGATGTGAATATCTGACATTTTCAAGAAGCAAGCTCTACTTCTTACCAGGCATTTTTCATACATAAGTCAGTTTCAGAGATCAAGAAGTCTAACAAATATCCCCATACTTATTTGTGACTTACTTGTGAAAACACTGACCACTTAAAATTTTAAATTGAATTTCAAAATAAGAACTTTTTTAGAAACACAATGGTACATGCAAACATTGTTACTGAGAATTTTTGTAACAGACTTGCCCTTTACCCTTCCTCCTGCCTTTAGGGCACTTTGAGCTATTCAGGAGCTGAGGATATGGTTAAACTATTTTTTATTTACTTTAATTTTACCCCACTCAAATCTACCTCGGGCTACCAAACCCTTAGTTCAGAGGTAGCAAATTTCTCAGTCTGTCTTATTTTTCATCCTCAATGTTAACAGATTTTGTCTTGTTACTTGCTTCTTGAATATACTGTCCTGCCCATTCTCTTTAACCAATCCTCACCTGAGTTGGTTTAAAATTTTACCATGCCCTCTCCCGGGTGCACAGCAGTGGATCATGCTCTCTGCTAGGGACTGTTTTGACCTCACATCCCATATCCAATAGCTAGGCTAAGTCTTTAAAGGAAACTAACGGCACTCTACCTTGTACATGATTCTGGTAACTCTATCCCTTTTATATTTCTAGGTTAACTTTTCTAGGAACCGGAGTTTTGCTTTGAGTTTGGTACTATCTGCAAAACTCTTCTGCTTTTGACTACAACCATGAAATACCCATAGCTGCCAACACTATCTTGAAGACACCATGCAGCTTTTTGTAAAGGCAGCTGGGTCTTTCAAATATGAAGCCATTTTTACTTTTTGGTTTCTTTTATGCCAGTTCTACTAAGGAAGCCTTAGTCCAATCCAGTTAGATTCATAATCATGATGATTATCTGAACTAATCCTGCAATGACTCTCTAACCTTTTATTCTTTGAGCATGTTATGGTTCAAATGTGTCTACCAAAAGGCATGTGTTCGAAACTTAATCCCCAAGGCACAGGTGTTAGAAGGTGGTGCATAATGTGAGGTGTTTGGGTAATGAAGGCTCCAGTCTCATGAAGGGAGGGCTTGAGGCTCTGAGTTCAACCTCTTGTTCACTCTTGTTCTCTCTTGCCCTTCCACCTTCTGCCACAGGATATGCAGCAAGAAGGGTCTTGCCAGATGGGGACTTCCTGACCTTGGATTTCCCAGGCTCCAGAACTGTAAGAAATAAATCTTTATAAATTACCCAGTCTCTGTTGTTATTCTTTATAGAAGCACAAAGTGGAATAAGATAGACTTCTTAATGATTTTCATTGTTTCATCACAGCAATGATTTTCTGCCGGTGTTGTACTGGGACCACCTCCCCCAAAGGATGTTTGAAAATGTGTGGAGGTATCTGTTAATAACACATTGATGAAAGGTGTTACCATCACTTAGAGAGTAGAACCAGAGATCCTAATAGTCCTGTAGTGTTCAACAAAGTGTTAAAGAATTGTCCTACCAAAGATGCCAAGAATCACAATTTTTAGTCAGAAAAATCCCAAGTCAAGTCTAGCTTCCATCAGATTGACTCGGGGTGGACACTAAATCTCTCTCTGAGTCTTAGCTGTTTTTTTAAAACTCTGCTTAAGAATAAAATAATAGGCCGGGCGCGGTGGCTCACGCCTGTAATCCCAGCACTTTGGGAGGCCGAGGCAGGTGGATCACGAAGTCAAGAGATCGAGACCATCCTGGTCAACATGGTGAAACCCCGTCTCTACTAAAAATACAAAAAATTAACTGGGCATGGTGGCGCATGCCTGTAATCCCAGCTACTTGGGAGGCTGAGGCAGGAGAATTGCTTGAACCCAGAAAGCGGAGGTTGCTGTGAGCCGAGATCGTGCCATTGCACTCCAGCCTGGGTAATGAGAGCGAAACTCCGTCTCAAAAAAAAAAAAAAAAAGAAAGAAAGAATAAAATAATAGTATTTTTCTCAGATTTTGGAAGGAAAATTGAACAATCATATGTGCACTGCTTGGCAAAATGTCCACAATATAGTAAACAGAAAGCATTGGTACATTAATTTTAATACTAGTACTGGTACATTAATCAATACATTAATGTTCACAAAACATCCAAAATTCATTAGAGCATCTCTGGGGAAAAAAAAGAGCTGTAGCTTCTATTGTACTCACCACCATGTCTATCCAGATTAAGAAAGCAATCAAAATGGTGCAATATCAGGTGAACATCAAATCACTGTCATATGTACACAGAGAGCTAAGAAAATGCTATACATACTGTTTTTTTTTAAGTTGACACTGAACAAGGAATAGCAATAATGAGAGAGGCTGTGCATGTGGAAAATAGGAAATCTCTATTGTTTCCTGTCAATTTCTCTGTAAACCTAAAACTGTTCTAAATAATACAATATTTTTAAATAAATCTGTTATGGAAAAAAATAAAGCTCAATAAAGTCATTATGTTTAGAAACTGAATAAATGCTCCCCTGATGGCATGGGAACGAACTGGAAAAAAAAGTGTCTTTTACAAATATAGACACCAACTAATGGTGAAGCATGCTGTTTCATGTTGTCTGTTCTTAAAAGAAAGAAGCATATTACTTGATCTTTCTGTAAAACTTGCATACACTCTATTAAAAAGAAACTTGAACCGGGCATGACTTATTCACTATGAATGGCACACTGCACCTGATTTAGAGTAATAAGCATACTGTCATAGGCATAACTCATCACCAGAAATATATAAAATTTTCTTTCCTGCAATTATTAAAATATATTCTCTAATTTCCAAGCAAACATGGTTTCAAGCATCAAGAATCTTCCCAAATTTTACCATCAAGTATTTCATAACTAAAACATTAAATACATTTACTAAAAGAGGTCAAGTAATACTATAATCCATTCTAATTTTTTTTTTTTGAGACAGAGTCTCACTTTATTACCCAGGCTAGAGTGCAGTGCCACGGCCTCAGTTCACTGCAACCTCTACCTCCCAGGTTCATGCAATTCTCCTGCCTCAGCCTCCCCAGTAGCTGGGATTACAGGCACGCACCACCTCACCCAACTAATTTTTATATTTTTAGTAGAGACGGGGTTCACCATGTTGGCCAGACTGATCTCGAATTCTTGACCTCAAGTGATCCTCCCACCTCAGCCTCCCAAAGTGCTGGGATTACAGGCATGACCCACCTGAACCAACCCATTCTAATCTTTTAAAATTTTATTTTAGACAGGGTCTCACTCTGTTGCCCAGGCTGGAGTGCAGTGGCACCATCTCTGCTCACTGCAACCTCTGCTTCCCAGGCTCAAGCCATTCTCCTGCCTCAGTGTCCCAAGTAGCTGGGACTACAGGCACCCACCCCCATGTCTGCTTGAACTCCTGGGTTCAAGCAATCAGATGTCTTGTCCTCCCAAAATGCTGGGATTATAAGGATGAGACACTTGCAACCAGCCTCCTTTCTATTTTTAGAAGACAGTGTAAAACAGGTTCACCAGTATCAGTCCCAGAAGAGAACTCTGCACACCTTGCCAATACCATGCACTAGTATCAG